CAAATTAATCTCACAAAATATATTTGTCACTGTGTTGCCTTGAGGTCGGGACTCAGCGTAGACCGAAACGTTGGCCTATTGAACTACGCAATGTGATCTGCAAAACTAATATTTGCATATTGAGCTCTCGAGTGCTGGTGACTTGTCTTCAAATTCTTTTGGCATAACTTTGTGCATAATCTGGATTATCTGAGCATCATGTTTATTCTACAGTGCACCAGCAGATACCTTTTTAGGAGAAGGTACATGCAGACATTATAAACAATGCAGTTTAATTTAGAATTACCAACAACTGTTCTGCTTGAGGGCCTACGATACACATGAGATTGCCACCTTATTAATGATCCTGTCTATAGCCAGGTTTAGAGGGTTCCAGCTCCTACTGCCCATTCACTACAGATTTACTGTGGCCTGAACTCCAATGGCAATGATACCTGATGTTGTAGCCCATCCACTCCAGTATATTCGCGTTGTGAAGCATAAGGCCATGTAGAGGCTGCAACTCTATTTCAGTTCAGTAACTCTCTGCCATCCAGCACAGGAATGAACCAATGTCTGCAGAAAGAAATGGTCAGATTCTCCACTTCATCTTTCAAAAACATCATGGTGGTATAAATGGAACTGTGGCGATATGAGCACCTTACTGTTCTCAATTGTTTTAACTATTGTTTAACTTTAGTCCTTTCTTCCTTCCAGAAGGAAAACTTTTATCTGTGGAGCTGACACATTATGTTGTCCCAGACTGCCAAGTGTTGCAAGATTACCAAGAGGTGCTGGAGTTTTCAGAGATTCGGGGAGTCATCTACATGCAGACCGCATGTCACGCCGTACAGCATCACAGAGGCCGCAGGTGAGTTTTTTTTGCAGTTTTACACTATACCGATGCATGGTAATGGAGCTTTTCTGTGTATAGAGAACCTGTCACCAGATCCAAAAGCTATTTTCCCATTCTCTGAGACACTGCCTTGTCCTCTGACTACAATCAAAGCATAGAACATGCCCCAGAGTATACTGACCCAACTGCTTCTATTGCACCACTTTGAAGCGGCTTCAGCAGAGATTGAACAGCATGCTCTACCTGGAGCAGGAGGTATATCGCCTGTATTGTGGCATGGGGAAACAAAGTTGGGGGGGTTCTCAGGCAGGGGAGAGGGGTATGTACTGAAAGCAATCCTGCACTTTGTCAGTACAAAGCAAAGAAACCAGTTTGCTTTAATCTCCCTCATCCCCTGCCCACCACCCACTACTATCACATACTGACTTTTTCTTCACTCCCCTGCCTCTAGGTCCACCTGTAAAGAATATACTCTGCACTTTGCATTGGCAAAGCACAGTTTTACTCAGAGGGCTGTTATTTTGGGGTGTATATTCTGCTCTTACTTTTCAGTATCAATAAAGATTTGTCAGGTTATCTAAAGGAAATCCATCAGGAGAATGTGTTTTTAGGGGTGCAGGCATCAGAACAGTCATGCTTTCTCGACCTGGTGACTAAGCTGAACAAGCAATTGCATATCACAGATGCCAACTCTTGCATGTGCTTGTATAAAGATCAGCGGCATACCAAGTAGTGACGGAAAGTTGAGAGTGACAAAGCAGGCAAAGTAAAAAAGAAAAAAAAAAAAAACAGCAATGGCAGTAGATCTCATATTTCCCTCCTGACAAGTTGCTTTAAAGTGGAACCGAAGTATTTCCCCCCATTCCAAAAGAAATTGCTAACAGGTAGAGGTTTTTTCTTTTTTTTTTTTTTGTGGCAGTAGAGACTTTGTATGTCTTTGCTGCCAAAAAGAACTAATTTAGCCGTCTGCTCACACATTTTTGGTAATTGTACAATGGTAAAGAGAATTGTGTACTCTCAGGCTTTGTAAGATGCTGAGAGCTCATCCTAGTGCCAGGATACTGTAACTCCAATGTGCATAGGTTGCAGGTACAATGAATGGGAAAGTGATGATGAAAAGAAACGAGCTTTGCAGTGTAAGAAGAACTAAGACGTACAATGGATGGTATGGTGTGCAAGAATTTTTTTGTTGATGTGAAAACTACAGTAGATGTGTGAGGACCCGATGAAGTAGTCAGAATGCACCCCAGTATTGATAAGATGCCCTTACACGTGGCACAACGTGAATGGTGACAAACTGAAGGACCTTTTTGTTTAGGTATACTCAGGCGGTCCTGCATTCTTTATACAGGCTTTAAAGTAGCAGCAGAACTTCCTGAACCCCCCCCTCCTTCCTAAAAGGGGACCTTGTTGAACTGCAGCCATTCCTGTCTCTCTGGAGTAACATTTATGCCTTGTGATCGAGGGAACTATTTCTTCTTATTGAAAAGAAAACCAAAATAAAAGCATTCTTTTATGTACCCGATCAATATCCATGAATTTATTGCAGTCTGCTCAAAAAAGCTCAACACATGTAAGTAAACTCTGCACGTAATGTTCTACATTGTTGACCTTAATCCATACAAAGAGTTCTATTTCTATTCAATTAGCCTAATGCGCTTTATATTTGATGTGGAATTAAAACCAAACTGACTAAAACAAAGCATTGATCAATACGTAAACAAATACTTGTTGCACATTAATGAAGTCCACAATTTGTTTAACATTACATTTATTTATTTTTAGTGTTGTACATCACCCATATGATTTATTTGCTTCGGCTTCCTTTTGGATCAGTTAGTGATCGTATTAGAGACACAGCTGGATGGAGACTAGGAACATAAGTCGGGATCTAGAGGTTGGTGGGATCTGTCCATGCAATCCTGGAATCAGTACGTGTTTTCATCACCCAGTCAAGTAGAGCTTTGGGGTTGAGCTCATGACAGAAATACAGATGAAGCACGTCTTTGTGGCTCGTTATCTTTCCAATCAGTTAGAATGAAGGAAATCAATACGGGAATCAAATATGGGTCTAAAATAAAATGGATATCTCCATTCTAGTCTCTATGTTCAGGTAATAAAACACCTTGGCAAATGAAAGCATGTTGGTAATGGAGGTCATTAACAATGATATAGTGTACATGGGGATAGGCTGGGAAATGCTAAGAATGTAGAGATGAGCATGGCCACTTTAACATGGAAAACGGATGCTGTGCCCTTCAGCGGATTTTCATTTGTTAGTGTGTTCTAAATCCCAGAAAGGAATAAAATTTCCTTAACAATCAATTGCCCTTTATGTTGATTAATGTAAGTGGCTTAAGATCGAATGAGCTAAGAACGATGTAAGGGTTGAGAAGGGAAGCAATCCTGGAGTTAATTACATTAAAATGTGGAAGATTTAGTTCCATTATTTGAAATTATGTAAAATCATCTGCTACATTTGCCTTTTTTGACAGCTCTATTATGAAATGGAGAACTGTCCCTGCCACTCTAGTTTTGCTGCTATGTGAAGTGAACATGAGCCAGAAATTATCCTAATCCACTTTGTGTGCACCAAATACCTTTTGCAAATCCAGATATTGCCTTTTAAAAAGGTAGCTAGCTGTGACATCATCACTGTGCTGCTCACAGCTTGTGCAGAGGTCAGAGCTGTGGAAGGGTGTTGGGACTCAGCAGGCCTTCCTTCTACAGGCTGCTTGCAAAAAAGCATAGAGACACAAGACCAGTCACCCTTCCCAATGAGGGAGTGCAGCAGTGACTGGTCTATATTATAAGATGTCCTTGCACAAAGGCAGGCAAAGTGCAGGAGTTGTTCTATGCTGGATCACTGCACATTTCTGGAAAAATACACAAAGGTTCAAGTAAGGATACAAACGCCTCCTGTAGTCAGACCATATCAGTTTAGCCTGGAGTTCTGCTTTAACAATCTTTGACAGGTCAGTCTGAAAAAGTGATGCATTAAATCTGGATCTAGATGGACTTGGTTACCATTGTTTGTTTATTAGGGATGCGCTGATACCAATATCGGTATCGGTGCCGATACTGAGTATTTGGGCGAGTACTTATACTCGCCCAAATGCTCCGATGCCTAGCCCAATACTTTACAAGCCGGCTCCATGTTCCCTCGTCACAAGTGTAATGACTCGCTGCCCGGCTTCCTGGTTGGTCGGGAAGCTGGCCAATCAGAAAGACGGGCGCCGCGTCATTACACAGCTGTCTGATTGGCCGTGAACCCGGCTTTATGCTTCCTCGTCACCTCATGACGAGGGAGCATGGAGCCAGCTTCCCGGTCAATCGGGAAGATGGGCTCCACGTCATTACAAGGCGCCCAGCTTTCTGATTGGCCAGAAAGCCGGCTCCATGCTAGTGACGAGAAGCATGGGGACGGCTTCCCTGCTAATCAGGAAGCCAGGTGGCGAGTCATTACACACCGCCTAGCTTCCTTAATAGGATTTCCTGTATTGGTGAGTACTGGAAACAAAATATTGGTACTCGGTATTGATGCATCTCTATTGTTTATATTATATATACTCTATCAGTCGGGTGGACTGATACAGTTCAACTTTTGTTGAAGGAGCCAGTCCAGAAATTCTTGTCCAAGCGTCATACCTATGGGCAGGGGTGGACAAATTCATATGGAATTCAGGAGCTAGCCTGTCCAATCCAGGAGCCAGTAGGATTGTTTTTGGTTTTATTAGGAGCCAGCTCCATTGACAACTACTAGAGAAAACCTCAGAAGTTAGGCGCCCATGGTATGTTGTAAGGAGCATTGGCGACCTGACTCCAGGGATTTGGCCAGTCCTGACTATAGGTAAAAGCAAAAAGCTGCGGTGGTCTCAGGAGATCAAGCTACAATCTAGTCTTTCTGTTTTTGTAGATATACGCTGGTAGATTTTCGTACAAAAGTTCATACAAAGAATCTCACCAGAACATTTAATATTGCCATCATAAAGTTGATCATTTTAATTTTGATTTTAGAATGAATGGAGTTTCCTGAATGAAAAATCAAATTTCGTTGATTCGAGATAAAAAAAAAATCCATTCTTCTTCTTTCTTCTTCTTTCTTCTTCTCACTGCAGTCAAACGATTTTAGTTTTACCACATTAACTATTAGAAAAACATATGAAAACACATTTTTCCAAATAAAATTTTACTGTTGTATGGCCAGCTTCACTCACTCCAGCATTATGGGCTTGCATTTCAAAATCTTTTAAGGGCTTGTTCACATCAAATCCAGACCAGATCTGCATGAGTTTCTGCACATGCAGTGCAGTGTGTTTTTTCACGTTCTTGCTGCGTTCCTGGCCGTTTTCTTTTTTTTGGGGGGGTTTAGCCTAAAATGGGCTTTCAGTGCGTTCCAGGGCGTTTGCATGTGATTTTGATGTGTTTCCATGCGTTTGTGTTGCACGGCATGCTGCAGTTTTTTCACATGTTCTGGAACTGAACGCTGTGGTGTGAACTAGAGCCCAAAATACCATAGGAATAAAGAAGGCGTTCTGTAACTGCTCTGCATCTGCTCCGCACTTGTTGTGCATAAGCCCTTAAGTGACACTAAACTCAGGAGCTAAATCTTAAAAATACATTCAGGAACCTTAACTATTAATAAAAATGTATCTCATTTGTGTATTACTCAGCTGTATATCCTCAAATTATCTCCGAATTGGTGCTGACACTGTCCTTCCTTCTTGAGGGGGGCTACTTTTGTGCCCCATGGTCCCTGTGTGTGTTGTAAAGTAGCCAATGCTCTAAGCTCTCTCCTGTGATGGACTACAATCTCATGTTTCGTTTACTAATTTGTATTGAGATTGTAGTCCATCACAGGAGTGAGCTTAGAGCATTGGCTACTTTACAACACACACAGGGACCATGGGGAACAACAGAAGCCACCCTCCAGAAGGAAGGCAGTGTCGGCACCAATTCAGAGATGATTTGAGGATCTACAGCCGAGTGATACACAGATAAGAAACATTTTTGTTAATAGTTAAGGTTCCTGAATGTATTTTTATTTCACAGGTCGGCTAGAACTATGAGGTGAGTGGAAATCACTCATCTCATAGTTCTCCTTTAACAACTGAGTTTAGTGTCACTTTAAACCTCTGTCTATGCTTAGCTTTGGTGCAAAATGGGTTAACCTGTCTGATAAGTGCAGTGAGCCCTTGTAGACGGCACACACTGGAAAGTTTTTCCTGCAGGGCTGGAGTCACACAAACACGATTAACATACATTATGTACAACCTCTGACAGTGTTTTATCCTAAGTGGCCATAGGAATGATACATATGCACTTTATCTCAGCAACAAATTTGATTTGTGTAACGATTTCCGTTCAAATATGGCTATCGGTGCACCTCTCGGCTCTCTTATTTTATACAGTTTGATGGACAGCATCCAGTGTCAGATGTGCTCCGAGGTGCCTTTCCTGTCTAACGATTATTGAGCTGCGGTTTATCTGCTGCCTTATTTTATATTTAGCACATTGTTAATTAAGAGTTGAATAAAGTCCTTTTCACACTGATGACAATGAGGAAATGGATGGCTTCCATCTTTTTTGTACAGAAAAATGTTGGTTAAAGAGCTTGTCCAGACAAAACTTTTTTTGGTTCAGGTAACACCAAGCTCAGGCGTTAAACCTTCGGGCCCGTTCACACCAGATGCAGTGCGTTCCGGCCCGATTCCAGCCAGAACACACTGCCTCGCATTGTGGCCGGCTCACTTTTTTGCAGGAGGTGGGTGTGGGGGGCCATTGAAGTGAATGGCACCGTAGCCATGCCTCACGGGATCACAAGGCACATTATGCCTGAGGTCCGGTCCAATCAAAATGCTGCAAGCACTATTTTGATTGCACCGGACCGCAGGCATAATGTGCCTTGTGATCCCGTGAGGCATGGCTACGGTGCCATTCACTTCAATGGCCCCCCACACCCACCTCCTGCAAAAAAGTGAGCCGGCCACAATGCGAGGTAGTGCGTTCTGGCTAGAATCGGGCCAGAACGGGCCCTTAAAAATGCATTCAGGTACCTTTTTAACTATTAACAAAAATGTATCTTATTTGTGTATCACTCGGCTCAAGATCCTCAAATCATCTCTGAATTGGTGTTGACACTGTCCTTCCTTCTGGAGGGTGGCTACTTTTGTTCCCCATGGTCCCTGTGTGTGTTGTAATGTAGTCATCGCTCCTGTGATGGACTACAATCTCAATACAAGTTAGTAAACTATACGTGAGATTGTAGTCCATCACGGGAGCGAGTTTGGAGTGGTGGCCACTTTACAACATACTCGGGGATCCTGGGGAACTTTTTTAGTTGTCCGATCACCTGCAGTGATAAGACATGACAATGTTGGTTGGTATTTTCATTGTTTTCACTTCTATTTCCAGACAGTACAAGAAGCTACGATCCTTACTTCGCGATGCTCGCCGTGATTGCATCTTTTTCCCCAATGAGTTCCAGCACTATGCTTATCTCCCCAGAGAGATGGGTGAGCCTGTTGAAGACTGGCAATCGAGGTATGGACCTTCTGTGATTGAGGGTCGGTCATGTTTCGCTTGTAATGTATTATAATGTGTTTTCTAATAATTGTTAGAAAAGCCAACTTCTCCATGAGCTCCAGTTCAGGGATTCTGCTGGGCTTCCATAATTGTTCCTACTTCCCTCCTACTAGAATTCTCCAGAGACCACCTGCATTTTCTCGTTAGGTTACAGTTGATTTGCAATCACTTTTTAGGAACAAGAAGTAGAATTAGGTCAACTCTGCTTTCCATTTAGAATTGCTGCAAGTGTAGATATGCTCTGAATACCTGTGGCACAAAATTAGTATTTTGTGTATCATTTTACATTAGCAAAAGTGTACCTGTTCATTCAACGGGCTGAATACAGATGGGAGCTTCACTGCAGTGGTAGAGAGAACAGAGTACTTAAGCATGTGTTGGTATAGTGGCAGCAATCGCAGATATGGGCCTAGATGTGCGGGAATGGGAAAGGTGGGGAAAATATGGGTGTCAGTCACAGTGGTGAGCGTTAACATTGACGTGCAGGTGTGGGAGGAGGATGGAGGCTATGGTAGTGAGAGCTTGGTATGGAGGAAAGGAGTTGGCATGAAGGCACCGTGGTGGGGAGATTTCAAGCATGGTACCGAGAAGAGTACAGGCACCGTAGTGTTGGGGGGTGGTTGCAGATGTGGTGCTGGGTGGTACTTCCTCAAGAAATGGTCAGTTGTTACTTCAGATGCAGTTTTGCAGGCCAGCAGCAGAGGTTGACCGGGGGGAGACGACGACGGCAGTGTGTAGTTGTAGCGTGATCTGCCGGGTCAGAGATTAAAGTGCCTGTGAAAACCACAGCAAAAGCCAAGGGGTAGAGAGCTGGTGTGAACTTATGTCCCTTTTGCAACACAGACTCATTGCAACGCTCCAGTGACCACTCTTAACTTGGGTGCCCTTTGATTTGTTTGCAGATGTATTTACAATTCTTCCGTCTGGTATTATCAGCACTGTCAAGCTAAAATACCCGTCATTATGGTAACTGAGAATGAAAAGGTGATCAGAAGGTACAGCAATGAGACTGAAGGTGTCTACGTCTTGTCATTTAAGGTCAGTGAGAAACCGGTTATTAGTACACAGAATAAGACGCAGACAATGCACACCGGTAGTAAATGCTTCAGATGTTTTTTTAGGTTTTATGTGGTTCTTCTGTTACATGCTCTGTATATCTGTTTTTTGAGAGGGCTACTAAATCTGAACTCCAGGTGCAAAAAAATTGTAATACAGTTATGTATTCATTAGGAAATTAATAAAGTGCATCTGAACCCAAGTCCGCACATGTAATATATTGCAGCGTATCAGTCTTTAGATGTAGTGGCTGCGTTCGTTCTCTTTTTTTTTTTTTTTTCTGGCACTTTTTTTTATTTCGCTTTAATTTGGTGATCCTGCTAGTAACACACATCCTGTCCTATGGTGACCAATTATCACTTGCTGTATTGTATCTGTGGAAGAGCAGCATTTTTCACCCTGGGATGCTCCCTACTCCCCCGTCCCCTATTTCCATTACATATGAGGAGGTGTTTTGTAATTCACAGACAGAACCTGCGCAAATAAGACACCATGAGATTTCAGAGCAGCAAAGGTACTGTGTTGTCAGCTTACTACAGATAGCTAGGAGCACACTTGATTTCTAACAGGATCAACAAGTATTTTCACACTTATTGAACAGGCATAACAAAACACTTTAACGGTTACAGACTACAGATCAGAAGCAAATTGGAGAAGTTCATTGTTAGGATTTTGGTAGAATGTTAATTTTTTTTTATACAATGTTAATTTTTTTTTAAACACCAAGTACCTGGATTTGCCTTGACCTCAAATTCCTGCACCTCTGAGTACAGTTACACTCAGACAAGGAAAGGCAAGGCCAGCACTAGGAGCCAGTGGGGCTCTGATGCAGTGCACGTGTGCTGAAAAGGAGAAGAGAGCAAAGTGATGACATTATCATTGTGCTGCTGCTTTTTCATTGTCCAGTCAGCAGGATGGGGTGCTTTTTGTCAAAGCTGTGCTGATGCTTCAGTGGATGTCAAATAATTGTCTGTGCTGTCTGCCAGCGGTATCTGGAACACTAAACCGGCTACATAGAGCTACTTTGAAAGCTACTTTGAATTTGAAAGGTAAAGTAATGTCCTCTATATGTATTTTAAGCTGTGTGTGTAAAGCAGAATAGTCAATCATTGTGCAGCCTGTGCCAAATATTATAGGTCTTGGTCCTTTTAAGCCTCATAGCGTTTGAGTTATGTACTGTACACTGACTCAGTTGAAGAGCATTCTCTCAATGTGAAGCAGCCTTGTTTTACTTGTCTTTTGCTATTTTGACAGCCACTGAACTCCAGAACAATGACACCATAATATCAGTATTGTACCTGAAACAATCCCTTTGCTTTGCTCAGGAAGCACCAGATATAAACAGCTGTTACAGGTCCTTTTCTGTAGTAATAGACCGGTGAACCGTGTGATGGCATCGGGAAGTGACATGTCTGTTTTGTCTCCTGTAAATGTGTAAAAAGGCAAAAAGTAAAGCTGACTCTTATCTGATATGTAGGTTAGATGATGACAAGAAAAAATCTGACCGTCAAAAGGTTCTTTTGTACAACTGCCACAAAACTATACCCTATAGAGAAAATTAGACAATTCCTATAGGTTGTAATTCTGGTCCCTGCAAATGCATTCTAGAACAACATAGAACCTGGCAACAATATCCAATCCAGGCTAATGCAGTATCAGGGGTGTGAACATTTTTTTTTAAAACTGCTTGTCAAAGGGCTTAAACTGGGGCCTGACCTACTTGTCACTCGTGACAATCTACTTTGTCCTGATGCAAAAAAATTATTTTAAAAACTGTATTTAGCGTTGCTAAGAAGCGCTTCTCATTGGTCAGCGCCGCCAGGTGACCTCGCTGATCAACGCGTGCTTGCATTTTGCGAGCGAAATTCAGAATACATGGAATAGGTACAGATAATACACCCCTACTTGTGGACGAGAAGGATCGTTCACTGAAAGGTAAGCATAGCAGGGAGGGAGAGGGGGCCAGATTTGTACAGGTAATTCCATTTTCCCAAATTCTTGGGAAAGTGAATTTACCCTTTAGGGCTGGTGCAGACTTGAGCGATCGTGTGCGGTTGCATACAGCGGTTGCTGCGCGGCCCCATTAATTTCAATGGGACTACATCCACGTGGCAATTGCTGAAAAAAGGTACCTTGTTTCGCCAGTGTTGCAGTGTTTTCAACCGCAATTTTGCGCAATTGCATGGGCGTTATTGCAGCTGGAAACCGCGCAATCTGCCTGGTGTGACTGGAGTACCATTAGAAAATAATGGCACTGCCAGCGCGATCGGTGATTTCGTGCACGATGGCGATGCGGTCATGGATCGGCCACTCCGCTGACACACACAATGCCCTATGCATGTGTTTATTCGCATGCAGGTGGTGGGGGGGCAGCGGGGCTGATTTTTTAATTTTTATTCTAATTTTTTTTTTTTTTTTTTCCTTTTGTAACATTTTTTCATTGATTTTTTTTATTTTTTACATTTTTATGTATTGTTTTATTATTTTTTGACTTTTTTTCAGTTAACTGCTTGAAGACCAGGTGTTTAGATTACAGCGGCTGGCCTGGAGGTAGTTAATTGCTATCACACAGGGGATAACAAGCCCCTGAGTGATAGCATTTGGAGGTGGCAGGTTCTCTTTATTGACCCTGACACCTTCAACACAGGAGTTCTAGCACAGCACTGTGCTCGTCCTCCTGTAACAGGAAGGCTGCGAGCATTCCTTTGTCACTGCTCACACAGATGTTCTCTGCTATGCTCTGTGCTCTCTAATCTGATCTAATTTGCCATAGTCCCGGGTCCCCTAGAAGTGCGGGGGACCCCGAAGACCATGGCGGGGAGAGAGGCAGCCGGGAGCCGTATTAGAGGCAGCGGCTGGGGACACGGCAGCCGGAAAGAGAGTGAGGGGAGGGAGAGTGAGACTCAGGCTGGTTACAAGTGATTTTGGGCATCTACAGCCGCTCAAGATCACCTGTACAAAACTGCTCCCCTTCTACATTTAGCCCTGCTGCCTGCCAGAAGCTAAATGTAGAAAAAAACTACTCGCCCAGCGCTTGGAACTGCCTGTCCCAGGCGTTGGGGCAATAGGAATTCCACACCCCTGACCGTATACTTAATTCTGTCTTTGGGGTGCAGATATTTTATGTTATGTGTAACCCAATATACTGTAGAATTATAGAACACACATGTTGAAAGTCCTAATTTAGGCTATTGGAGACTGTGGGTGTGCGTGTTGGTGGGTGGTTTTTTTTGGGAATAATGAGGGTGACTGCTTTAAAAAAGGACATTCAGTTCTTACATTTTTGGCAACCATGGATAACACACACCTGCCATATTCTTACCAAACTTATAAACTACGGTCCATGGCCTGCTCCTGGGGCCCCCTTTCCCTCTCCTTTTTTTTTCTTTCCTGTGTTTCTTCTCTCTTCTCTCTTTCCTGATGAATCTCCGATGACCCACCACTTTCACACTCCTCTCTAACAACCCCTTGCTTGGCAGGATTTGGCTTTCAGATACCACCACACACCCATTTTTAGCCATATCTCCCAATAGCAGTCACAAAAGACATCACATTTCCATTATCCAAACATGAACTTCACCTCAAGCTTCAAACATAGCCCATCTAATCTTTCTGAACTGCAATAATGATCTGACTGGTTGGTTAGAGATAACCAAGAATATGTTTGGAAGTGTTTCTTAACTAGAAATGATTTTACCTTAACTAGAACTGGGTGATAAATCCACTCTCTAGTTGAATACATAATTGATTTCCTATTTTTTTCCTCACACACAGAATTACTTGGAGATATTTTGGCCACATCTGAAAGGAGCCCTGGAGTTGTACAACTCAATCCGAGAGGCTCTTCAAGAGCGTGAAACAGAAAGTCGTGAGAGTAATGGCAAGGAGTACCAGGAGCATCTGCCGCTGGAAATTCTGGAAGCTGGAATTAAGTCTGGTAGATATAAGCAGGTGAGTCAGTCACAATATAAATGTGTTACAGAGAGCAGCTGCATTATAGCACACTGACCAGTCCTCGCTCTGTGCAGGGTGTACTCAGCGTGAACAAGCATCGTTCTCAGCTCGAAGCCTTTGTGCGACTTCAGGGCCTGGCAGGCAAAAACTCTGGTATGGAAAGGCTTCTTCTATAATATTTGGCTTTTTGGGGGGCTATGATTGGGCCTGATCATAACCCTTGAATTCTGTATGGTTGTGGTGATCTCCCATTTTGGGCCTACCTAAATGAGTGCTTTTGACACTGGAAACACTTGTTGCATATTTTCCAACATGTTGGACTTATCAGCAATGTCTTATCCCATCTTGACAGGCTCTGTACACATTTTCACTCAAAAACAGACCAATGCCTCAGGGCTGGCAGCTATTCCTATGTCTTCTTTTAAGCGAATCCATAATGCTTTGGGAGTTCTTTGTTATCTTTAAAATGTTCTTAAAATAAATATATTAAATTAGATCTGGATGCCTTCCAGGTTTAATGATGGCCATCTATAAGAACTTAAAGTGACTCAGATACTCGTAAAACACTGGAGGCCCGCATGGAGCACCCCAGGTGAGAAACTGGAGTGTGCGGTCCCCGGCAACTGGTACCTAGGCTTGCATGCCACCAGAGGGGCCTCTGTGTGCTCTCTGTGGCACGCGTGGCATAGGTTCGCCATCACTGGCCTACTACATCTTCCTGGGGGGTGGGCTGTTAGGAGGCACTGTTTGCTAAGGAAAAATGTGTTTAGAAATGTTTCTTCTAGTTACCTCCTTTTGTGGCATATGTTGCGGTTTGACTTGCCTGCTAATAGTGCTGGAGTTATAGAAACCATTTTGATCATCTACTTTTGCATTCCAATACAGACCTGCAGAGTGATGTTCTGATCCATGGCACCAAGTCACGAAACAGAGCAATCCATGGAGACCTGGTGGCTGTAGAAATTCTGCCTAAGTCTGACTGGAAGGGGAGAACAGGAGCTCTGTGTGAGAATGAGGCAGATGAGAGAACTGCGGATACACAGAGTGACGTGATGATGACAGGTAAGCTGAACCGAAGAGACTTTGTTGTCTAACTGTGTAGCTTTTTGTGCATGGAATGGGGTATGGTGAGCACAATAAACATTGCATAATTGCAGATAAATGTGTGAGCCTCAGGCCTGCATTCATGTTTTGTCTGCCCCCAGGTCGTGTGGTGGGAGCGTTGCAGCGAAATTGGAGAGATTATGTGGCTACTTTCCCATCCAAGGAAGAGACCCAAACTCAAGGAAAGAATTCACAGAGGGTTCTAGTGACACCATGGGACTACAGAATCCCCAAAATCCGAATCAGCACACAGCAAGCAGGGGCACTACAGGTACTTTTTGGAGCCATTTGGTACAAGGACTTAAAATGCCTATTTTTAGTAGCTTGTGTGCGGCCAAATGATATGACTGCAGAATTTTGTGGATTGCAGCAACTCTGTCATTTGCAGTGAGTGACGGTTATTTCTTGGCACAGCTCAGCACATTGTGAAAGGGTTTGCAGACAAACTGCTGAGCAGTCTATATTCTGCTCCTTCCTGCTACTTTGGGTGAGGGGGTGTTTGGTAGTCAGATACTCTGCCTCCTGGAGCAAGATTCTCGTTTTGTTTCATTACAGGAAAGGCTCCATCTAAGGGACCTTAAAGTGTACATAAACCATAACATTGAACTTAATTATTCTCTTTTGGTCTGTTAAATATTCCATTGGGAGTGTTTTGTTATATCTGTTTGATAGGTGCAAGAAAACATGTTGATCTTGTCAGAAGTTCAGAACTTTAATGTGTCTTCTGAAGACTTCCTGTGTTATCCCAAAGAGCCCACCTAGTTTTTCTCTTGGACTACAGAACAATTAACTTTGTTGTAGAGATCTGAGAGCGGGAGTGGCTGAGTAGTTTAGCAAAAGATACTGGGAGAGCTGATAACGCTCATACCACAAAAAAAGCTGTGTGTGATCAACCCACAACTGGACTTGGCAGTTGTGTTTACTTGCAGGGTCTTTAAAGGGATAACATGTGTATGTATGTAGAGTGGGCTTGGCTCATTTTCCCTCTTCTATGTCACCTATCATTGGCCACCCACTTTTCTTACCAAGTCACGGGGATAAGGTTTTCAATGCCTGGGTGAAGAGCAATAGATTTAGAGCACATAATTTTGCTTTCCCCGAGGGATGGAAGATTCCTGAGCTACCCCCCAACATGGGATGAAGCACTGAGTCTGGATTTAATGCGGACAACTTGCACATTTCCTGCTGTCCTTGTCTGCTCGCGAGTCCTTTTCTCAGCCACCTAACGTCGTTTGAGAAGTGCTGCTTACAGACCGTTCCACAAAGAGGATCTCTTTCTGTGCTTAAGCTTCCCATGACTTGCCTCCATCTTCTTTTGTCAGTATGTGGGATTTAGGTATCGCTTTTTCTTCCCAACAACAAGGTCATATTGTACATTTCTCCCAATGTGCTTAGTATTTCTAACAAATACCAAGAAGCTAAATATAAACTGACAAGGTGGTATAGGACCCCTTGTGTTCTCGCTAAATTGTTTCCGGGCACAGCAGAAAAATGCTGGAGGTGTACGGAGAAGCGGGGCCCCATATTTCACATCTTTTGGCAATGCCACGGAATCGAACGGTTTTGGAGCAAGGTTATTTGCATAATTCTTGATTTCACAGGTTTAGATCTCAGAGACTAACCTATTTCCAAATACCGTTCTAAGAAATCGCTAGCAATCCATCTTCTAAACGCAGCAAAAGCTTGCATTGCCGGATTCTGGAAACAAGCTTCACCACCTACACTTTCTCGTTTCTTCTCCAGAGTGAACGATATTATGTGCATGGAAGTCCTGACCGCTTTGCTTCACCATAGATTGGGCTCTTTCATAAATACATGGTTCTACTGGATTCAGTTTTTAAACTTTCCGATGCCTATCCCTCCACGCTCCTTACAGACACTTCTTAACCCTCTTTGGTGTGACGCTTGTCTGTCTGTGCACCCTGAGTGCTTGAGGAATTATATGCCTGATCCAGACACTTTACCCTCTTGCCTTTCACTTCCCCTTGGGGGAACACCAGATGAATCCAACTATTCCCCTTCTCTCCCCCTTACCTTCTTGTGTCTCCATACCCTCCCCTCCTTTCCCCCCCTTATGTGTAGATCTCCTTGAGGATGTGGGTCCCTCACCCTTCTCCCTCTGCCATATTAGACTCTTCCCCTTTACTACCTGGCTTTTACTTCCCCTTTTTCCACCTCACCAATACTCTTCTATTGCACTACTCTACCCCTCTAATTTTCTTTTATTATAATAGAAGTGTACTTCTGTTGTAAACTTTAGAGTTTAATACATTGTATATATTAATCTAGTTGTGATAAATCACGCATATAGAGCATATATTTAGTATATTAGCGCAACACTAATTCTTTTTATTGGCATCATCCTGAACCCTGCCTATGTTAAAGTTGGCTCATGATTATTGTAATTAGAGGTGCACCAAAAAGAAAAATTCAAAAACGCAACAAAGTTAAAAAAAAAGTCAGCCCGAAACCGGAAATGTTTATTTTAACTTTTTCAAAAAATTTTAGAAATTTTTTATAAACGTATTTTTTAATATTTTCATTTTTTTATTAAATATTTTTCACTTTACTTTTAGGGGCTTCTGGGAAATATTGGGGGTCTAAACAGACCCCTGATATTTCCCTTTTTTAAAATAGAAAAAGGGAATAATGATTTAATTTAACTAAAGTTAGTGAACGGGCCACTCGTGATTTACTAATCAAAAGTGCAATTTTTGGCCGATATATCAGTGCATCCCTAATTGTAATCCATGTATTTTGACTTTTTGGTTTCTGAGACGTGTCCATATGTTATCAGTTCTTGTGGATATAAATAAAGAATTTTTTTTAAAAAGTGTATGTATTTTAGAGAAGCACTGCATATGTGTTTTTTTTTTTGCCCTGACATACTCTTTATGCCTAGCCACGTTGTGAATGGTGGGCCTGTTGGGGCGTTTTAGCAGCTTTGCTGGAAGATCACACAATGCAAAGCTGAGGCAAAATAACATAACTCTAGTCAATCATTGCCAAAAAGTGATTGCAGAATCACAACACAGTGGAGGATTAAACAATTCTATATGATCACTGTGCCATAATCCAGTGCCTTTAACAGCAGAAGTTAAAGCGTAGACATTTGTGCTCATATCATAATATTACTCTATTTTATTTTCTCTTTTCCTCCCCACAGGATTTCCGGGTGGTGGTACGAATTGATTCCTGGGAGTCCACCTCTCTCTATCCTAACGGGCACTTTGTGAGAGCATTAGGACTCATTGGTGACCTGGAGGCAGAAATTCAAACTATTCTGGTGGAGAACAGTATTAGCGTGAGTCCCTTCTCCGAAGCCCAGGTCAGTTGTCCTAATCGGTAATGGCTGAGGCATAGCCTTCACAATGTGATCGAATGTAGCCACCACATGTTATGTTTTCTGATTTAGTAGATTGAATATTATGGTGAAACATGTTAGTCAGTGTATATCAGCATTTACCAGAAAGAAAGTTGTAAAGGAGGCGCCTCTCTTCAAGTTCATAGTTTGTAATAAAATGTATGTAAGAAATATGTTGGTTCAGATTTTTCCTGTGTACTTACATTGTGCCATTACCTCACTCTGCAGCTGGCAGAAATGCCTACAAACACTCCAGAGAACCCATGGCGGGTGGCACCAGAAGAAGAAGGTCGACGTGATCTACGCAGTACTCATTTGGTTCTCAGTATCGACCCAAAGGGTTGTGAGGATGTAGATGATACCTTGTCTATTCGAGAACTGAATAATGGGCACTTGGAGCTGGGCGTTCATATTGCAGATGTCACACACTTTGTGAAGACAAACTCTTACACCGATATGGAAGCAAAAGCAAGGTCGGTAGAAGTAAAGCATCATTGTTATCTGGGTATAGCGGCTTCTTTGTCACAGGGAACCTCAACTCTCAGTGGTGTTTCCTGATAAAGTAAAGCATGTCTAATTATAGTGGCAAGTATTTACTCTTAGGTATATTTATAAATGCAGCAAGTTTTAGTGTATGATATTTAAGGGTTTTTTGGTGTTCTGTGTCTCTGTAGTGGTTGCCTGTTGGCATAGTAAAACCTTGGCAATGCTTACCTTCCCTACCTTGCTGCTCTGCAGCATAACATTGTCTCCAGCACTGCAGGCACTTTAGAGCAGTCCTCTGCATATGCTGGTATTTGCCTTCTCTTTACTGTGTTCTTCTGGTGTAATTGAAAATAAGAGCGGTAGCGTGCACAGGGCCATGGACTGTCTATATGAAAGCGCCTCCTAGCCCAGCACTATTACATGGGGTCACATGCTCCTCCATAATCAGAGCTAAGGAAGATAAGTATATACATGGGATAGGGTGATTAAAGCAAACCTATCGCATGGCTTTGAATAATCTTGCCATCTAACTCTGGCACTTAAGCTAAAGGTGCACGCTAACCTGCCCTGTCTCCCAATAAAAACTTTGTGAGATCCTGTCCTCCTCCCCAGCCATGGAGTCTCACTCCTTTTTTTCAGCTTTATTAACACAGTATAGTAGGTATTCATAGGAAATCATTTTTACATTCAGCCAAAGTGAAAGAATTCAGTGACTTGTATCACACATTTCTGATGAATGAATGTTACATCAGAAGCGATGTGTGAGGAATCAAAAAAAATAAAGCTCTCTACTAGAAACCCCAATCAAGTCATCTCTCCTGATTTACTTGGTAATTTGGCTGGGGGGATGCAGGTATAGGGAAAATTAAGCATGGTAAACAACTTTAAGGTCGGGCATATTTATTATTGGAGTATTTAACCAATTGGTCCACAGTTTTTTTTTTTTCAAATTTCTGAGTAGTGCCTCAGTTGGGAGTAAATCAACCTTTTAAGTTCAGTGATATTATGGTTAACCCATTCAGATAATGATGGGGAATGTGGGGACTTCCAATGGTTAAGAATAAGCCTTCAAGACTGGAAAAGGACTCTCGAAATTGCTGTTGTAATATTGGTGTCCGTGCATATAGTATCCATCACAGCAAGATACAAGTAGTTATATCCTTGGGGTTAGTAATCTGGAAGACCCTACTAATAGTAGATATAACGTCCTCCCAGTACCCACTCGATTTGGGGCATCACCAGAGCATGTGAAGGTGACCACCATGGTCCCTCTTCTACCTGTAACAGAGTGGTTATCTGATGTACCCATGTCAAATGGTTTTCTAGAGTACAATAAGCCCATAAGACAATATATATTTGGGACAGAAGTAGTGACACATGTAAAGAGGCATAGAGCATTCCAGGGTCATTTCTTCCCAAGTGTCATTACCAATGTGTCCATTTGCCTTGTCCCACAAGCATTTAACCTTACAGGGGTGGAAAGACAGGAACCTGGACAAAAGAATTGTATAACCAGAACAGGATTCGGCTTGAACCTGTTGTGTGCATTGACAACGTTTCTGTGGGTTTGAATTATTTGGAAAATAAAAGAATTACAGGTGAAACTCGAATAATTAGAATATCGTGCAAAAGTAATTGCAGTAAGTGCTGCAAAAGGGGCCCAAACCAAGTACTGAGTACATATGCATGCTTGTACTTTTCAGAGGTCCGATATTGTTCTATGTACAATCCTTGTTTTATTGATTGCATGTAATAATCTACTTTTTTGAGGTTGTGGATTTGGGGTTCTTGGGGTTTTCATGAGCTGTAAGCCATAATCATCACAATTATGACAAATCACGGCTTGAATTATCTTGCTTTGCATGTAATGAGTCTATCTCATATATTAGTTTCACCTTTTAAGTTGCATTAGTGAAATAAATGAACTTTGCACGATATTCTAATTATTCGAGTTTCACCTGTAAGTGCTGCAACCTCGAATATTTGACTATATGAAGAGGACTAGTTGGGCCTGGTTGCCAGCAAGAAAATTGAGGAGTGCCATCTGCCTCATCTTTTATAGATAGATATTTTTTTTTTTTTGCAGGTGTTTACTTTGTTTTTGCATTTATAAATGAGTCTTCCTCTCCTAGCTGAGCTGTACCTTTTAGGTTCCAGGATCTGGCCATTTTTTTTTTTTTCCATAACTAATATTATGTTATTCTACAGAGCTACAACATACTACCTCGCGGATCGTCGCTATGACATGCTGCCTGCTATCCTCAGTGCAGACCTGTGCTCCTTGCTCGGAGGTGTTGATCGGTAATGTGGAAACCATTCAATTCTATCATTATTTGCTAAAAAATATTGTTTATAAGGTGAATCCACACTGTACACCGATTCATCTGTCAGAAAGTCCCAGACCTGCTGAAACTAAGGCAAAACCAGGCTTAACTTATTTATTAAATTTTTTTCCTTAGTTTTAAATAGAGGAGTGTAGAGCTTTTTCTACTGTCTATGTCCCTGTTTGGGAGAGTTACCCCCTCCCATTTTCTTGAAGACCCATGTCGCAGAAACTGAAAATGAGGTAAAAATCCAAGTCACGAGGGGTAAGAGTAAATCATCCAATGGGGACAAATGTTCAGGTAACAGCTGTCTAAGGTGGGAATTTCCCTCACTTTGGGGAGATCTCCTGATGTGTCTCTAGGACAGGAAGTGACAGGAAATGTCCCAAGTGGGGGACACATTGTAAAAAATCTAAGCCTAAAAAAAAAGAAATTTTGGCTTTACATACACCAAGTATAAGTGAAAGGTGTAAGCTGGCATATTCATTTAGGCACTATAAAGAGCAGTGATCCCTATAAAAAAAACTAACATAAGATGACTTCTGGTAAGAAGTGAAATCTAGATGTTTTGGGTTTCTGCATGTGATAATTAATCCTTATTTAATAAAATGTCCCTCTGTTTCCCCTTGGATCGATCTTTCAGACCCGCTCTTACCTGATTAAAACATGCCTCTTGCAGCCTTCTTAGTTCAATTAAAATTCTGAAAGCTGCAATAAAAAGTCATTTGACTACCTCCCTCCCCTTTCCCTCCAAATGTGCGTGTGGAAGCTGTAACTCTGCTTTCATGTTACCATTCTGATTTATTTGGAAAATGGATCCATGTTATCCAGCTCTACTTGTGACATGATTGCTGTAATAGGTTCTCTATTAGATTATATTGCACTTCTACATTCTTGATGCACAGCCAACCTCATGGTCATGTAAACTGTTTACTTTATACCTAGCAATGACGGCATCAACTTGCATATGTTTGGACAGCTGAGTTCAATGATATTACCACAATACACTTGGCTTTATTTACAAAGTAAAATGTAGAACGCGCTGCAGCCATTGTTAAACATACAGCGCAGAAGCACCCAGTGACTGCAATAACTCCCTCTGCTTCATATATTGGTAACAGGTTCTCTAAGTTTTCACTTTTGCAAACAGTGTAAACTCAACATGCAGTTTCTGTATCACAGCTGTATTTCCTAAGGAGGTCTGTACTGCTATTTAGATGCCGCCGCTGTGCCCATTCAAGTAAATAACCGGGTGACATCGGCCACATCTGTAAGCAGTAATCCGCATGTAATCGTATATGATTACATGAGGTTTGGAATAGATGACTGTCGCTGGACGCATCTATCCTGCAGAATATATGATTGTCACTGGACACCAGATAGATGCGTCCAGTGACAATTATCTATTCCAAACCGCATGTAAGCGTATCATATCTGATTACATGCAGACTGCTGCTTACAGATGCAGCCGCTGCCACCCGGTCGTTCACTCCAATGGGTACAGCGGCCCCATCTGAGCAAGGACACCTGACATTCCTGCTGCAGGAATTTGTAGGTTCCTGCCGCGGAAGTGCCAGGTCACCCTGTGTGAACGAGGCTAAAGTATTTTAAACTCCAAGAGAATCTTTGTTTTCATGCAAGTCTGCTCTTCTGATGTAGATTTGTTTTTATGCTCATTTTCTGAAAACTTCTTGTTTTTTGTTCAGGTATGCGGTGAGTGTAATGTGGGAGTTGGACAGCACAACATATGACATCAGGAGGGTGTGGTATGGCCGGACCATAATCCGCTCCTGCTACAAGTTGAGCTACGAAGTAGCTCAGCAGCTGCTGGATGGAGATCTGGAGCCACTGAACATTGACCCTGAACTTCAGCCAGTTTCTCAGGACTCCACCAAACTGGACAGTCTTCTGTGGGCGATACGTAAACTAACAGAGGTGGCTCGAGCTGTTCGGACACGGAGAGATATGAGTGGAGCACTGGAACTAGAGGGGGTAGAAGTTCGGGTGCAGTTGGGGGAGGAGCATAGCATTGATGACCTAATTCCTCAGCAACCTTTACAGGTGCATGAGACTATAGCAGAATGTATGATCCTAGCCAATCACTGGGTAGCCAAGAAGATCTGGGAGAGCTTCCCCCAGCAAGCATTACTCCGATTACATCCGCCTCCACGTCAGGAATTCTTTAAAGAACTCAAAGAGACCGCACAGGCTAAAGGATTTATTATCGACACTCGGTAAGTGACTAGGTTTTGTTTACTTAAATACAGAATTTAAAGTGACACTAAACTCAGGAGTTAAATCTTATAAATGCATTCAAGTACCTGAACTATTAACAGAAATGTATCTTATTTGTGTATCACTCAGCTGTAGGTCCTCGAATCATCTCTGTTCAACAGTTTGGGAGATTTGTGCCTAAATGTGTGTCTTTGTTTGCTTTTTCCTATCTCAGATCTAATAAATCCCTGGCAGATTCCCTGGATAAGGCAAATGACCCTACTGACCCTCTGGTGAATCGTTTGCTGAGAACAATGGCCACACAAGCCATGTCTAATGCTCAGTATTTCTCCACGGGATCGTGCACAGAGGAAGAATTCTATCACTATGGTGAGGACCACAGTTCAAGAATGTGTGCGCTCTTCCTTTCTCTTCACAAATGTACATTGGTTGCACTATGTTTAGGACTTCAGTGATAACATTTTACCTCTATAATTCCCAGATATCCATTTTGGGGTCCCTATCCTCCCGCTGCATTTTCCATACAGTAAAATAGAACTATTAACTGCAACAGTTTCAAGGAGGTACAAGTGTGTGAGTTAGGTCACCAGAACCTGCTAGAAACTTTTAAAGTAGTCGTTTCTGGTTGAACCCTTTAAACACAGGTTATATCCTAATTGTGTTATTTCACAAAACACAGATGATGGCATGCCAATGTCAGATGCAGAGGTGTCTTATTCTTATCGCCTGACACCCAGGACATGCAGTTCTGGGCAAGTGGGGGGTTTTTTCTGCATTTATACCTGCTGCGGGCAAGCAGGGCTAAATGTAGAGCAGAGGAGCCGCCGCTTGTTTTGTACAATTGATACGGGCGACTGTACAGCCGCCCAGATCACTTGTAGGAGCCTGCTTGTCCGTCACCTCCGCCTCCCCCTCCTGCCGTGGTTTTTGGGGTCCCCTGCTTCTCTGGGGGACCAGGTGCATAGTAATTGACTTCAGGATGGAGAGCGGGGAGCAGAGAAAGTCTGGTCTCTGATCTGCTCTGTGTGAACAGTGAGACAGGAGCACTGTACTCACACATTTCCTGTCTCAGGTGTCATAAGCCGGGCTGCACAGGAGAACGAGGACAATGCTGTGCTCAATCTTTTGTATTGGAGAACAGGCTCCATAAAGAGAACCTGTCGCCTCCAAATGCTATCACTAGGGGCTTGTTAGTCCTTGTGTGATGGCAATAAAATTAAGTGAAAAAAATAAAAGAATAAAGTAAAAAAAAAAAAATGAAAACCAATCCTACCCGCCATCTGCATGTGAATAAACGCATGCGTAGGGCATTGTATATGTGCGTGTGTGCACTGAGTGCTGTCTTGCTGGCAAGAGTGGTCTGACCTAGGTGGTAATACTTTGTGTACATCCTAAGAGTCCGTTAAGTATTTAAACTTGGCTCATTATGCAGCAGGCATTTATTTTTACAGAGAGCTTCTGTATGAGCTCTTAGAGTGAGATTGACTTGCCATACTTTATTGGGTTGACGCACTGGAAAGCCTCTTACATATGTGGCCGCTGTCACCTAGTCATTAACTTTTAATGGGCACGGTGGATGCATCTGAGCAGGGACACCTGGCATTCCTGCCGCAAGAATCCATTGGTTCCTGCCACAGGAATGCCAGATTGCCCCCTTTCACACGGGCACCTTCAGTTGCGATCAGCAGGGTATCCATGCACAGATTTCTTGGTGAGCAGCTCAGAAAGGATGTCACCGTTGTGACATCTGTGCCTGTCCGGTATTTCCTCCATCCCCTCCATCGTGTAAATTACCAGACCCATGTTGGTGTACGGGGAGTCGGATGTAAACGGACATATGTCCATTTACATTAGATTACCCCTGTTCCACCAAAACAGAACTCTGATCTGTTTGGTTTTTCCAGACCTGGCTGGAGTCGGGGGTAATCAGACGTAAACGGATGCAGGTCCATTTAGATCTGGCTGCCTATAGACTAACACTGGGCTTCCTATCGGATCTGCCTGAAAAACTAGCATGTGAAGGGGCTCTTAGAGGAGGAAACCCCTTTTAATAATGGATGTTTCACTTTGTATCATTTTTATATATTTTTTTGTATGGTTTAGGTTTGGCCCTTGATAAATATACACACTTCACCTCACCAATCCGTCGATATGCCGATGTTATTGTGCACCGGCTTCTCCTGGCTGCTATCCACCAGCGTACAAAAGATCATCTGCTCGGAAACAAGGACCTGGAGGAGCTGTGTCGCCACATCAATAATCGCAACCAGGTGAGCGATTCACAGGCGGTGGGAGGAGGGCGACCTATTGGGACGATGTCCAACATGTTCTGAGTACTACGTTTAAGCTGTCATGTGCTACAACATGAGCTGTAGGAAGAGCTCTTCACAAAGGGAGAGACCTCTGAAACTAAAAGGGCATTTTGCAGGCCTGACTAAGCAGATCAACATGTAGATAATAGACTCCGGTGCTTTTTATTTTGCTGCAAGTCAGTATTGATTATCCTAAGAGGTTCTTCAGCCTATCGGATCCGATATACTCCAGAAGTGTACAAATTACAAACACATTAAAAACCCCTGAATCCTGAGGAAAGTAAAGTCTATGTTGGTCTGATAAGCTTATTACCAACATGTTCTTGACCAAGAGTAGCAGGTGGAAGACCAGGTAAAAATAATAGAGGTCCTCATATATGAATGTGCATGATCCTGCAGCTCCAACTTTCACAACACAAAGGGCTTGTTCACGCCGCATCCAGATCATGTCCAGACCAGAACAGTTTGTTCCTGGACCAAAAAAGCTCCCTAATGTATGCCTATGGTATTTCTGGGCTCTGTTCACACCAGCGCAGTCTGTTCCGCACCAGACCAAAAAATACTGCTTGTCACATTTTCTCTGGTCTGGAATGCATGGAAATTCATCAAAAACGCATACAAAGGTACTGGACAGCACCGGAAAGCCCATTTTAAGCTTAAAAAAAACCCCAGTCTGGAACGAGGTAAATTCACAGTAAAAGCGCAATGTCCCGCATTCCAGATCTGGTCCGGAAAATTGTGTGAACCTGGCCTAAGACTGCTGGATATAGACATGAATAGTGTGATGAATGACGCTTTAGCTTTTCAGCACTTGCATACTGACTCTCTGCGTAGGCCAATGTCCTATGCTATTAGGCATACATAAACACACATACATGTCCTATCTTCCTAGTAACATATACATGTCTTGATAACACGATCGTATGGGTAATGATGTGATTAGTGTAGGAAAGTTGTCCTACTAATGATCAGATGAACAGTAACGCCAGTACACACAGGGACGCAGGTTTGCTCATTGGCAAATCCTGACAGGTTTCAGTTGCTTCTGTGAAAAACTGACTGTCCCCTTGACTGATATTCCAAGGCAGAGGAAATGGATGTCATTGAGACCCAATTGTTCCCCCTTTAATGTTCTAGGCTGCACAACACTGCCAGAAACAGTCTACAGAGCTCTTCCAGTGCATGTTCTTCAAAGATAAGGACCCAGAAAATGACCAGCAGTGTACTTCTGATGCCATAATATACTCGATCCGCACTAATGGAGTGTTACTCTTCGTACCCAGGTAGGAAAGTTGTCCGTCTTCTACACTGGGAAATAAACGATTATTTCACTACCCTGGGATGCTCAATACATTGATTTTTAGGAATGTATCACTGTAGATTACAAACTCCATACCAAGCTATCCAATCTATGAGCAAATACCTCACCTATAAGCATTCGTGTTTTGTTTTACCAAACAATAATTTTTCAGTGGGATCATCTAAATTCTAACATTTAAATTACAACCAGCCTTGTACCTGATTGTCAGGCTATAATAGAAGTCACCGGCACTCGATGATGTGTGCAAGAAGTAAAGCACTTTTTTATTAAATTGTCACATGCGTCATACAGCTAACGGTTCGGGGCCACACAGATCACTGTCACTACCATATGTCGCCCAGAAGAAGGGACCCTGCGTGACCCAGAAATGTTGGCTGTATGACGCATGTGACAATATAATAAGTGCTTCACTACTTGCACATATCATCGAGTGCTGGTGACTACTATTATGGACTGTATCTGACACGGCGCCATCCGCGTTGTCACTTCGAGCACCAACCTTTCAACAAGGTCTGTACGCTATATGGAGTGCAGGTGATTTTGTATTATTGATTTTCAGGCTCTACCCCTGTATTTTTCTACTATGACAGGTATGGCATAAAAGGAGCCGCGTATGTGAAGAACACAGAAGGCTTAGTCTTGACATTTACTGATGATGGTTGTAGTTGGACTTCTGGATCACTGAAACGTCTCCCGGACCGAATCACAATAACAGCTGATGGGGGACACCAAACCTCATTTTGTCTGTTTGATCATGTGACCGTAAGTTGAAACGACAACAAAAAATAGCATACTTGAGCTGCTCTGTCATTTCCAGAGATGAATGATTGAGCACATGCAAATATGATGTACAAAAACATTTCATTGCAAGAAGAATGAAGCTACTTGTAACCAGCAGACATTTTCTGCCTACTCCTTTTTTTTTTTTTTTCTTCCTTTCAAAACAAAGTAATTGTGCAGATTGTGTGTTTCCATAGAGTTATTACCGCTGTGTAATGAATGCAGAAGGTTTGTAATACTTTCAGCAAAGGAATGGGAAAAATATCTGAATGGCATCTGTCAGTTCTGACACAAACTGGTGAAAGAAGCAATACAAACTGCATGGCCAGGGATACTTGTTCATGAAATGTTACTTCTCCCCATACTGGATTGTCTGGTGTTATTCCATTAATATCTAAGCTCACATGATTCCGCTGTCATTGGAGATCAGCCTGGGCTTGGTGCAAACCCATTTTGTCAGAGTTCGGGCAGTTCCCTCAAAACTGAAACCGCCACCCCCTCCTGCCAATGCAATCCATTGCGGCAGGGGCATTCCCTGCCCCTTTATTATGTAAAGCTGAAGGGCAAGAAATGGGCCTCCCCACAACTATTTGGGTGGCAGTCACATTTTTGAATGGGCTTGGGTGAAGGCGGACAAAATAGGTCTGCACCAAACTCAAACTCCTCACTAGCTGTGATGGATCACAGTCATGGACAGTGACTGAGGAGAATTTTCTTTATGGGGAAGTCCATGCTTGGCCCTCTCAGAAGATCAGTGATGGGACCTTGTTTGCAGCTGTTGGTGACAACCTTTTAGCATAATATAAATGGCAGCCATGGCCACATAGGTAAAGGATTTGACAGGTGAGCGTCATTTGATGGAGTAATACTTGTTTCTGCTGTTTGGTCATTTCTACACCACTTGTATTATACAAATACCGGTAATTGTGTGTTCCTTCTTTCTCTTATAGGTACGAATTGGGATACAAAGCTCCCGCTGCCATTCAGACAGCATTCGCCTGAACATCATCAGTAATAAGCCCCATGTTTCCCAGGAGATCATGCCCTCCAGCACTGGTTCTGATCTCTGCAAGACAGAACTTGTTCGGGAGGTGACCCGTACCGCAATAGAGGCTCAGCAAGCTAAAGAGGAGGCAGCAGAGAAACAATCCGGGTTACAAAACCAGGAATATCGACAAACTCGGGGGAGAAGCCTGTACACCTTGCTGGAGGAACTTCATGACCTGGCCTTGCTGGATGTGTCTGGGGAATAGCATCCCAGGCGGGATCTCTGTACAATGGCACGGATAGGAAGAAATGGATCTTAGTGACAGACTTGAAGTGTTTTAGGAGTGAGTGGTGAACATTCACGGTATTGTTACCGGTTGGCAATCCTGGAGCCATGACGGCTTTGTTTTTATAGTGATCATTTTTTTAATAGTAGCACACAGGAGGCTATTTTATAACGTAAAAGTATCACTGATGACAGTATTTGGTTCTCTTCTATTTTATTAGATGCATCGTATTACTCTATGACCTTTACAGGGTCTATAGAATGATGTACATCTGCTGCCTCAGAGAAGCTTGCAGTATTATCAGGCCCAATGTGTTTTACAGCTAAATAGCCCACTGGTAGTATTGTGGAAGAAGACGACCATAGAAACTCCACACCGATCATGTCCCTGGCAGCAACAAAACCCAGAACACAATGATGAGCAATTACCTAGCATGCCAACAAGCAGTTAGGCATTAAAGGAAACCTGTCATTGCTGATGTCTCCTGTAAATGCCAGGTAGTAGCTGTCATGCTGCTTACTAGACTCCTTTTGATAACATGAACAGCTTAGCAGGTAAGGACTTCCAGCTTTCCTCATCTGAAGATTTGTTCTGGGTTAGTAGCTCAGACATATTGCCACTTGTGCGCTAGGGAGATGGGGGCCCATATCAATCTATAAAGTTCCAAGCTACATGCTTCTAGTGCAGGTTGGAAACTTAAAGAACTCTGAGCAAAACTTTTCTTACCCCCTTGCAGTAGAGCTACCCCTGCACTGTAAGGGTTAAGTGCTCGTTTTAGTCTGGGTGCTAACAAAGTTTTACTCGCCTGATCCTTAGAGACGGCTTGCTGTTAGACCGGTCCCTGGAGCCTCTCTACACCCTCCACTGCAGCAGTCTAAAAGTGGCCATACAGTATGCAAATTTCTGCCGGTTCTTGATGAACTGAACAAAATTCACACAGTGCGTGCCACTGTTGGCACCCTTTTAGCCGCCATTCCTCGATAAGCTGATTGAAGGAGGCGGTCTTCGAGCAAACAGTCTGCAGCCAATGACCTGCCGGATCTTTTCAGGTATTCTGATAGCAAGCGGCAGCCGCTGTCAAAAAACAATTAAGACAGCGGGAGATTCCTCGATCAACGCGCGTAAGCAGCGGAGGAATCTGTTCTTTTTTTTGTGTTCAGCCCGCAGGTTAAATGAAAACAATAGAATTGTGTATGGCCAGCTTGGAGCAGGATTCATCTCTCGCACTTTTTTCAATAATGAACCCAAATCAAACAAATATACATCGCCCAGCAAAGCATTGCTTTACATCTTTTCCAAAACGGTGTTTCTGAACAGCTGCTTCCCTGAGCTTCCTGTCCAGTACAAGGTCACAAAGGACAATGCAGATTCCAGCAACTGTTCATCTACTAGCTTGGAGAAGGCGGAGTATCCTGATTTGCTGTGTTTGTGGAGTTACTAACACACACAAGGGTGACTGCATAGCGCTCTGCTTGAGAATGGAGTCACCCTAAAACAGGAAGTCAGGACCAGTGCTCGGGAACCAGCTGATTCTGCAGGAAATTAAAACTTTTAGTGATTTCATTAGCAGTGGAGCAGACGAAAACTGGAGATGTGGACGGAAACCAATCAGCTTCTCTTACATTTTCAAATCTTACCTGAATAAACTGAAGAGAGAAGCTGATTGGTTGCTGTGCGCAGCTGCTCCAGTTTTGATAAATTCCCCTGATTGTATAGGATGTGAGGAGGCGGAGGGACAGTACTATTGCTGCAGTAGAGGATCAAAGAGGCTTCAGGGACTGGAGTAGCAGCCAGCCGGCTCTGTGGTTCAGGCGAGTATAACTTATTTTTTGTACCTAGACATAAATGAGCAGTTAACCCTTGAAGTGTGTGTGCGGGGGGCAGTAGCCCTACTGTAAGAACACTTTTGCCTGGAGTTCTTTTGAAGCTACGATTTGCTTTCTTGGGGTGACAATCATGTTTTAGCTCTGCTCCTGCTTTTAGAAATCATACAGCTCTCAACGCTCAGCATCCACTAGACTTGAATTCCGGGTATCATGGTTACCCCTGGCTCTGAAACATGCTTTTTAAAAGATGGTTCTAGCACTTTACTGCGAACATTGTTTTATAGGCTGCCTTGAAAGAACTACAGAATATTTTTCTATATAAAATAAATATTCTTATTTTCTTTTTTAGACTTTTGTATATTTTGCTTTTCTTCTGAAATCTGATTTATTTGTGTGTATGCGGTTCTCAGCAGAGCTCCATATACAAACACTGCCTTGGCTATATACATACAACTTAATAGACATTGGAAGCACATGTATGTAATGTATTTAGCAAGTTTTGTGATTTAAATACTTTACATAGCCAGGAAGAGGATTAACCATTTCTTGGTTTAGGGTTCTGGGTACTTTTTGCAGTGAGTGGAAGAGCTCACAAAGCTGCACCAGAAAATGGAGGCGGCCCCTGGCTATGTGTGTAGATTGGCCGACCAGAGTTTAGGATCATTTGGCAAGTTCATTGAGTCGCACACATACAGTATATTTCTAATGTGTACTAAGTTGTTTCCTGTCAATCCCACTTTCAGCCAGTTCCCTGCACAATGAGAATACCGGAGACTACTCAATCGATGGATCTCGGCACAGATCCCATGCACTGATTCAGGGCCATTAGAAAATATCTCCTGAGGTCCCCAGAGCCACTCTGCTTTTTCCAGTAGCCTCAGGGCCCCACCAACCACACAGAGCCATACCCCTTGTGTCATGGGGAGGCACACTCGCTTGTTTTATATATTGTGCTGAATGCGATAACATGTTTAATAGTTTTGATAAACTATTTTCAGGGATTTTATTACTTTGTGTGGTTTTATTTGTTTTCCATACAGAAAAAGGCTGATCTTAAATGTCACATTAAAATCTAAAGCTCACCATACACGGCAGACGACATTCAGATGCAATCACCTTTATGTCAACCAATAGCTATGTAGTGCGAGGACCAGACTGGATACAGATTGTATATGGTACATAATTCTGGTAAAGTTGGTTCTACAGAGATTACAGAGTGTAACATGTATGGCAAGCTTTAAAAGGAAACTATAATATTAAGTCTCAAGATAAACATGAATGTGGTTAGCTTAGTTTACATTTTTATTTTATACCCGAGGGGTCTGCTGTGCCCCCTGATGTATGTATGTGAGGAGCTGCGCAGCTTGTAAATATAAATACTTCTTATTGCATGTGCTTCCTGTGTAGTATTACACACTGGTTGTGCCTATAGAGGCTGGTTAGCACTCGTGTTGAGACAAGGTGTATTACTGTAATGTACAATCTGTGGTGAGGTTTCATTCGATGTAGCACCTGAAAATGTTTAAACACACCACAGATGTGAACCATGATGAGTTCCATTCCTTCTGAACTGCACCCCAACCTACCTTACCAGCACACCTGAACAAATGTATTCCAGCAGACTGCAGCACACAGATGTGAGCTTGATTAAAATTATTTTAAAAAAGGGGCATGTGTTCTTCTATGTGTGTTGTGGTGAATTGGCAGCCCGCTCAAAGTGAAAGGCCTGCCTTAACGTGCAACATCCTACATCACACCAGGCAGCTGTCAAGGCTTTCCATCTATAGGTGGCCCAAAAATGCCTTCAGTTGAAGCATTTCTTGCAATGATTGGCTGTCTCAGATCTACTTTGAAGGCAATAACAAGCACTTCTGGTACATGGAGTCTCTTAACCCATTCGTTACTGACGACGTACAGTGTACGTCATCAGCATCGGGGCTGTTTCAACAGACTCCCGGCGACTATTGCCTCTGTTTAAACTTGTAAAGCAGACTGTCGGCTTTACAACAGAAGCGATTCTGGCGACTTACCTGTCGCCAGATCGCTTCTGTGTCCTGTAGAAGGGTGTCGTCCCCCCCCACACCCCCGCCGTGCTTCCCGGGCTCCGTTGCCCCTCCTACGGGCCCGGGACCGGCTTCCTTGGTGTCTGCGGGGAGCTGGGGAGGAGGTCAACGAATTTCCGTTAGTCGATCTCCTCCCAGTTCACTTCCGGTCCCTGGGCTTTTAGTTCTGGGCTCCTGCAGTCCCGCTATAAAGCTATTGATGTGCGATCTGCACTTCAATAGCTTATTTCCAGTGTGAAGGTGACACTGGGGGGTCTTTTGGATGCCCAGCATCACCTTAAAGAGTACCTGTCACCACCATCTGCTATCACAAATAAAATAAATCTATGAATAATAATAAAAAAATGTAAAAGTCCCCCGCCCCCGTGAGCACGAGCGTCGCCACGTAAACACCTGACGGGTGCGCCTATGTATGAAAACGACGAACGCGCTACACATGTTGGGTATCGCCGCGCACGCCGGAGTAAGAGCAATAATTCTAGGGCCAGTATTTTGGGGTATCTCTAAATTGATGACCTGTGTGGGGCTTTTAAAGCGTCTATGTAGTTTTTGGGGGTACTGCAGTTTTTCGCCGTTTCACGGACGCACGCAATTTGTAACCTAGGCATGTTGGGTATCGTTTTACTCGTAATCTCATCTTTTATATTTCATTAAAAAAATTGGTATTTTGTTGTTTTGGGGCATTTAATTAAATTTATCACTAAATGTCGGGGTTTAATAAGGAGTTGTGCTAATATTGCGCAACATAAACATTTGCAACTACCACCATTTTATTCTATAGGGTCTTGGCATTCAGAAAATATATGTTTGGGGGTTTTAAGTCATTTTCAGGCCTAAAATGTGGAATATAACATGGGTGCAAAAAAATTAAAAGGCCTCAGTCATCAAGGGGTTAATCACCACAAATGTTTGAGCAAGTAGGAGCAATCTTTACCGATTCTGTGCAAAATAGAAAATTATTACTATTTCCCTCCCATTCAGCATTGAGGAAGAATCTCCACACCACTTCTCTGGCTTTGCCAAGAGCCACCTTGAACTCTGATCTTCAGTCTATTACTTCTGCCTGCCTATGGTGCCTTGGTCATCTGACAATCACCTGCTACCAGTGGTTGGTTTTTTGAGAGTACCTAAGGCTTGCCTCGTACCCTGAGTTATGTTGATTCACCGCCACAGTTGCAACATGACTGATTCTACATACAGATGAGGACAGTCCCCTTGGTCCAGGTTCCCCCCGCTCACAATGTTCTAACTTCTCTGGCACAGCTTACAACTTCCATACGGATGCAGCAGATGTCTCCAGCTTGGCATCATTTTACCCTCCTACTTGAGTGTGCCATCGTCAGTCTTTTAGCAACGTCAGGTGTGGCTGCCTTCTCTGTCCAAGGAGGTTTTCATTTTGGTCACGCAGGAGTTTGGCACAAGTTACACAGATGTTTGATGAGTCAGAATCAGTAGCCACAAGAGCGCTTCCACCAATTGTTATAAATCTGCCAGAGGCCTCCGAGCCATCAAAAGCTGAAACTCTCTTTAAATCTGAGTCTACGGTCCTTCCCAGATGAGCTTGCCTTCCAGGACTCACAATGCCTGCTATCCCTCTCTGTTTCAGCAGCTATTGATGCAGTGTGTGCCACTTGGAAGTTAGAGGATGAGCCTGTTGCTTCCACCAGTGTGGTTTCTAGACTGCGGTGCACATGCAGAGAACACTTTGAACTGCGTAATCTCCGTCCAAAAAGGTCTTCTAAAGGACGTCTAATCTGGATGCCATCATCAAGGACTTACAAGTGGCAAGAGCACCGATCCTTCTTAGCCACATATGCCTTAGGCTCAGCCTTGGGAGGCTCACCCCTCACTGGAATTCTGCAGATTCCAAGTGAAAATCCAAACCTGGCTTCCAGTCCACCCACAAGGCCTTGAGGTCTAAGGCTGTCAAACCTTCAGACAAATCATCAACATTGGCGAAGCACACCCACTTTCCAAAGTAAAGGAATGTCCGTTAGTCTTTTTGCACACTTAGCCTGTATCTAAGATGCTTGGGCGCTGGAGGTGGTTTCCAGGGACTACCGGCTAATGTTTTTTGCTCCCAACTGCTCCTTAGTTCATAACCACCAAGTTCCATATTAGCAGTACTCTAGGCAGCTCTAGTGGGCCTTCTGGATGAGGGTGTTACTGCCCCAATTCCTGTGGGAGAATGGTTACCGGGGTTTTACTCAAACAGGGTCATGGTTCCCAAACACAAAGGGGGCATCTGCCCCATTTTGGATCTAAAAGCTCTGCTCAGAAGCTCCATATGGAATCCATCAGGTCTGTCATCACTTCCCTTCCCCCAGGGAGACTTCTTGGTAGCTGTAGACAACAAAGACACACATGTCCCCATCTTTCCTATGTTGTGCTGTGAGTCCTCTGCAATTTCAATTCCTGGCCCTGCATTTCAAACTGTTTGCTGCACCCTGGGTATTCAGCAAGATGCTGACCCCAAGAGAAGCCTTGCACTGAGGAAGCAATCGGAAAAGCTTCTGGGTGACAGCATTGCCTTGTCAGTCCTGAACATTTATCCAATATGACAATACAGCCAGAAGGTCTATTACATTAGTACCAGCATCCTGCTCCTTTGTATACATGCAGGGACGGGGAATGCCTGGCCTGCATCTGATTAGGTGAAGTGCCCATGACATTTCCTTGTTCAGAGGAACTCAGATTCAAACAGGTTTGGTCCAAGCCTAAGCTCATCCCTAATTATTGCCAAGTCTGTAGTGTTCACATTGCCAGCAACCTTAAATGAAATAAAATAGTTTATTAAAGAAAAAATATATATACACATGCATGTATAAACCATCAATCTTCATCTTGTACTTCTGCATTTGTATCGCTGGATTGGGTTTCTGCCACTGCGGTAACTACTGAACTTGCCACTGGCTGTGTATTGCTTTCCACTACATTGTCTACTTCTTCCAGCAAATCTTCATCAAAGTCCTCGGGAATCTCATCTGGATCAGCAGACGAAGCCTGAGACACAACTGGTGCAGGGGTCTCTGCTAAAAGAGCACAAGGTGATATTTACATGAACCTCACATACAGTCATAATCCTGACATGAAAAATCGATGTAAATGTCATTTCCTTATCAATTGTGAGCACAGCTCTGCCCAACTCCGTACACAGGCCCACATCCAACTGTCCGAAAAATCTGCTTCTGCGTCTTTTATATTTCCACATACGTATTTGTAACAAATAGTCCTAAAGAAAGATTTTTCAAAAGCTTTCTACAGAATGATGTCAGCAGAGTTGCCTGTGTGTTCATGGTCACATTACTCCACGGTAACTCCGGTCATATTGGCAATCCATGAAGAACAATCAGTCATATTGGAATAGCATCTATGAAGCAACAGTACCAGAGTAGTTTCAGAAGAATGTCCCATGTTAATGAATTTTAATTGGGACCTAAAGTGACACTAAACTCAGGAGTTAAATCTTAAATACATTCAAGTACCTTAACTATTTTTAACCTTAGCGGTGAGACAGGTTTTTTTGCATGCTGGCTGGTGAGTGTGTTGGGAAACTTTTTGCTGTTCTAACTATTAACAAAACTGCACCTTTATTTGTGTATCACTCGGCACCAATTCAGAGATGATTTGAGGATCTACTGCCGACACTGCCCTTCCTTCTGGAGGGTGGCTACTTTTGTTCCCCATGGTCCCCGTGTGTGTTGTAAAGTAGTCACCGCTCCAAGCTCACTCCTGTGATGAACTACAATCTCATGTTTAGTTTACTGATTTGTATTGAGATCGTAGTCCATTACAGGAGTGAGCTTGGAGCGGTGGCTACTTTACAACACACACAGGGACCATGGGGAACAAAAGTAGACCCCCTCCAGAAGGAAGGACAGTGTCAGCACCAATTCAGAGATGATTGGAGGATCTACAGCCGAGTGATACACAAATAAGATACATTTTTGATACTTTTTAATGTACTTGAATATATTTTTAAGATTTAACTCCGGAGTTTAGTGTCACTATAAGAGGAGTAAAGGAAGAAGAGGTTAAAGCCCAACTCCAGATATTTAGACATAACCGGAATATTCTGTTTCCTATGCTCAGATCTGTATTATTTCCCTGGTAAGATGACTGTGTTAATTTTAGCTTAAGTGATGTTTAAACCACTTTATTGGGCATTAACCAGGAGAATATCTTTATAGTGAAACTGTCCTCTGAATTTTGGCCGCTCTCCCGGGTTAAAAGCTAAGCTGGCACTGGGCTTGCCATGGCTAACATGGTCTGAAGGCAGGCTAAGAATATTCTTGCTCTCTACACTAGTATGCTGGAATGTCTGCTGGGGATTAGGAGTTTACATTGTGATCCACACCCCTATGACATCAGTCAATATGCTGAGAATCCATGATCTGCAGCACCAGAAGAGTGTTACATGCAACAATTTGGGGAACCGGAAGGATGTAATCTGTATGGGGATTGCTTGGTGGGTATCCGAATTTGCTCTTTAATATAATGTGAGGATTTATTACAGGGGATTTTATAGATTACGAATCATCTGACATTGTACTGGGGCATATGATTAGCTTACATGAAAAAAGGGATTGGAGGAATTCGTTTTTAAGCAAGCCGATAAAACAGATTACAATGTGGACAGTCACAGCCTTGTACAATAAACATTCTGAATTGCTACATTTCGCAGTAGCAGCCGATCATATCCGCTAAAAAAAAAAAAAAAACATAACATTTACAAAATTCTAACTAAATCTAAAAAGGATAAAACTGTATTACGTTAATAAATAACATATTTGTATAATTTAAATTGCATCTTTTTGCAAAACGGTAAAAAAAAAAAAAGGAACGCAAAACTTTAAATAAGCAACTTACGCTACAAATCTGTGTTGTGCTAATGCCTGATCTGCAGTGCCGTTGGGGCGTGTTGCAATAAAATGATGCAGACATACATTTAAAATCACAACACAGCATATCACAACGCACAGCAATATATCAACACTTTGCCATGTGCTACCACGCAGTTGAATTAATGTGATTTCAAAAGAAGAAAAATCAAGCATGTGTGTTGTGTGCGCGTGCTTTATTTCTTTACCGGGGGGGCTGGGGAGGGGGATGGTGTCTTTGGGGAAATATCAGAGGTCTAAAATAGACCCCTAACATTTCCCTTTTGAAATAGAAAGATTGAGTACACAGAGTCCTCAATCTCTAATTCTACAGCCCCAGCACTGAATGAACATGAAGCACTCAGTACAAAGGCTAACTATTCATTCACAAAAACTGAGGAGGCATAGTACTCTCCCCATTTATGAAGACAGGAAGCCTCTGTACTGAGTCCATCCATTCCGAAACTGAGCAGATAGTGATTACCAAGTCCCCAGTCATGAATGAACAGGAAGTCATGTATAGCACTTCCTGATCATTTATAACTGGGGACATAGTAATCACAATTTCTTCAGTTATTTACAAACACAGAGTGATCAGTACTGATCACATATTTCACATGTTTGCTGATCCTCTGCTTGGCATCCTGAAGCACTCAGCCCCGCTTTCCATCCTGACAGCTGCCCTCTCCTCCGCACTTGGCATTCTGACTATCACTGCTCTCTCCTCCCTGCCGGCTGCAGCGGTCTGTGTTCCCTCCGATCCCCACTGCCTCTGCCAATAAAGACGAGGGAGAACACAGATAAGAGCGGGTCGGCAGATTTTTTTTAATGAATAGGTGTCATGAGTGGCAGACAGCTATTCATTTACAGGGGAAGGTCAGGGAAACCCTTCTGATATAAAATCATGGTCACTGAAGCAACCATGAGCTAATAGCAGAAGAGTGAAAGCCAGCGATGTAAGGCATACTGACCTGGATATGGTTGTGTTCCGACATATGCTACTGCAAAAGGGTAAAGCTCAGCAAAGGGGCACCATGTCAGTTACTGTGTGCAAGTCATACCCTGGCTGTCTCCTTGTGCCTGAATCTTCTGCATTCTCTTCTCCAGAGCCAGAAGTCTGTTCCTCTCTATCCTCTGTCTTGTCTCTTCACTCAGTTCAGTGGTGTTGGGCTGTGACAGAGATGGTGCAGAGGGTTCTGGGTAAGCAGGCAAGTCTTCAGAATCAAGGTGATCTTCCATCTGTACAACAACTGGAAGAACATAACAATTGCAGATTTTCCATAAACATACTGCAGCAAAGAAACTAAAACCAGCTTTGAACAATATGACAGGACATAAAAAGAAGTTTAAGGTGTAATGTATGGAACCATCGCACAGAAACCCCAAAGGCTGTAGAGGTCTTGTCGGCAGGAACCATTTTATTTCTGTGGCAGTCCTAACGTCACATTAAATGACTAATTAATGCAACACAGAAATATCTGCCACACAATTTTCAGAGTTTTATTAAAACAACACTCAGGTAAGAAGTCACCTATGAACATCAAACACTTGGGATCCTGTCAGGCGTGGATAATTTCTCTAGTGTCCATTGAGGGACACAGCTCTTAAGCAATTCTGATATGTAGGGTTATGCTGCTGCCTCTAGGCAAAAATTAAAAGCCTGTTACTTTAAGGACATAACCCCTCCCACCTTCCAGTTTGGCTTAGTGCGCTCAGTAGAATGGAGGTCTCCTTCTCTTCTGCTTTGTTATTTTATTTCTTCGTTGAAGATTCCACTACCAAGAGCTGCTAGCTGATTCATACCAGATACAGGATTAATACATTCTGGAAGTCTCTCTAGCTAGCCGACAAAACAGAGATTCATGCCAAATGAGATAAATCCTGGAAGTTTCTCTACTTGTCATGAAGTAGGTTGTTTATGGTCTCTGTACTTATATCTCATCCTACGGTGGTCATGAAGCAGGTAGTTTCTGGTCTCAGTACTTATATATACACGGCATCCTGCGGTGGTCATGAAGCAGGTCATTTCTGGTCTCAGTACTTATATATACTTCATCCTACGGTGGTCATAAAGCTGGCCGTTTCTGGTCTCAGTACTTATATATACACTTCATCCTACGGTGGTCATGAAGCAGGTCATTTCTGGTCTCAGTACTTATATATACACGGCATCCTACGGTGGTCATAAAGCTGGACGTTTCTTGTCTCAGTACTTATACTTAATCCTGCAGTGGACATGAAGCAGGTAATTTCTGGTCTCAATACTTATACATACTTCATCCTACGGTGGTCATTTCTAGGCCTAGTACTGATACCTCATCCTGTGGTGGTCGTGAAGCAGGTTGTTTCTGGTCTCAGTACTTATAACTCAACCTACGGTGATCATGAAGCAGGTCGTTTCTGGTCTCAGTACTTATACCTCAACCTACGGTAGTCATGAAGCCGGTCGTTTCCGGTCTCATTCCTTATGCTGTGTCCTGCAGTGGTCCTGTTGTCATCATTTAATAGTTAGGCCAGCATTACCTAAGGATTCCTGTTATGTTGGGAACTGGGCAGTAGATTCGTAAGTAAAAAGGTATTTACCTCGTGTTTATGAGGTTGGGTGTTTTCCCTCCTTTTTATTTTACTTTGGGTGTGTTCCTTTAGACTTCTATTTGGCTAAACAATTTTATATAACTTCTCTGCCATCTCTTTAAAAGGCCAGGATTTGATTTGATGGCGCATTGTTTTTCTCTATTGCATGTGTGCGAGCATGCGCAGTCAGTATTTCTGGTTTCCTCAGAGCAGTGTAGTGCTTTTCTATCAGCAGTGAAGGTGGATGGAGTAGTTTCGACTCTGCTTCCTTTCTTATTTACCCTCAATTTCATGTCACTTGGGGAGAAGAGAGATATCCCGTTTTTAGGATGACAGATATTAGATTGTGTCTGAATCTGTGAGGCAGAATTGTCAGAACAGACTGTCATTTAGGGCTGCCGCTAATGATTATTTTCATAAATCGGTTACCTGATTATTTTTTCAACTAATCAATTGGTTGTATAAAAAAAAAAAACTCTCCATACGATGAGAATAGTTGCCAACTATTCTCATAATCGATTAGTTGTTGCAGCCCTACTGTCATTAGCAGTCTCCTACTCTGTCTTACTACTAGTTTTATTCAGAAACTTGTGACATTTGTACTTATTCATTGGTGTCGCTGAGATCTCCTCTTTCTCCGAGGGATCGGAACATAGTTTTTATCGGTTCTACAAAAACCTCCTTTTTAACTTATCAGAGCCATTTCTTGTCTTTGTTATTCAAAAAGTTTGCCTTTCTTGTAACCATCATCTCGTCTAGAAGGGTTTTCAAGCTGTCAGTTTTGTTTTGTGGAGGACCCTATTTGGTTCTTCATAAGGACAAGGTTGTTTTAAGACCGAAGGTTTCGGGCTTTCATTTAAATGAATAATTTTTTCTTTTACCTTTGTCCAACTCCTGTTCATACTAAAGAAATTTCTCTTCATTGTTTGGATGTTGTGCGGACTGTTAGGATTTGTCAGCCACAGCTCTTTAGGTGTTTGGATTCTTTACTTGTTCTACCTGAATGTCCTAGAAAGATTGTTCAGCTTCTAGAGCCACTATTTCTAAGTGGATTCGTCAGGTTGTCATTCAAACTTATGATTTGCGGGATAAGGTTCCTCCTTTTCCTGATCATTCTACTGGGCATTTCTGAGTTAAGCTTCTCAAACTGCAGAAGCCACAACTTGCTCTTCTGTTCACACTTTCACCAAGTTTTATAAAGTTGGTGTTTCTGCTTCCTCTGATGCTAGTTTTCGTTAGAAAAGTTCATTTAAGTGGCTGTGAGAATTTGAACTGGTTCTTCTAGTTTTGATGGCCCTCCCTTCTGTTTCTTAAAGATTTATATTTATAAGTGAAATAAAACATTACATAGACAATAAACAATTCATTAAGAATGACAAAACATATTAGACAATAATCCAACCCCCTCCTACCCTCTGGTTTGTACTGCTTTTTGAACGTCCATACGCCTCAGAATTCTTTGGAGCGGTGTCCCTCAATAGACGATTGGAGAAAATAGGATTTTGTTTTTAGCGTAAAATGCTTTTCTCAGAGTCCATTAAGGAACACAGCTTCCTCCCCCTGTGTCCTTTAATACTGCTTGCTACAACTGGCAGGTGTGAGAGGTCATGGCCTTAGTGCCTAGTGTCCATTTCTCCTGGAAGTAGCAGCATAAGCCTACGTTTCAGAATTCTTCAGAGCTGTGTCCCTTCTCAGGGACCACACAGGAAGAGGAATGTCTACATAGACAAAAAGAGTAATAAAAACCCAACAAAAGGTGCTTTTGCTACCGACATGTCCCGTTAGAAAGACTTTTTGCACTGGAGACCATAAAGGAAGTGAATGGTAATCCCTCCAAAGGAAAGAGAATGCACAACAAAACTGATATGTTCTAACCCTACAACACTCAAAAACTAGGCTGTGGTTAATTAAAAAAGAAAAGAAAAAAAAGCAATAGCAAGAAAAGTTCTAAAGTCAACCTGCCAAAAGAGTCACAGCATGAACGAATACATACAATACAGCAACAACAGAATTTACCTTCATCACTGACATAGTCTTCATGGACAATGGGCAGATCCATCCGTATTCTTTTTAAGCAAGTCTAAAGAATGGCAAAATATTAAATTACATTAAAGCAAAATGCACAAAAGTATGGGATTAGCATAAGATAAGCCCTCACGGGCAGGGCCCTCCTTGACACCTTGTCCTGAATTGTAATGTCTTCCTTATATTGTAAAATGCTGCGCAAACTGTTGGCGCTCTATAAATCCTGTATAGTAATAATAATAAGATGCTGGTACATCTAAAACTGTACTCGCTGGTGTGTGTGTGTGTGTGTGTGTGTGTGTGTGAGATGACACAGCAATAACATTTCCATGAGCTACATTCAAGTAACTGTGCCTAGGCTAAGGAGTGCTATTAAAAGGAAAGTTAGCTCATCACTCAGTCTACCCTTCCCTAATGTTTAATCAGAATGTACAATGTAACTCTGTAGAAAAAGTCAGAAAACAAGGAGGTAAGTTGTGCAAGACATGTGCAAAAAGCCCAGAACAAAAAGGATGCTCCACAAGCACAAGGGTCTACATCCTTAGTTCTCAACTGGTGGGTTGTGACCCAAAAGTGGGTCATGACATGCCTTCCTTCTAGGTGAGAGACTCCTCATCCTCCCCCTAGTGCAGCACCGTCAGTTCTTGTGCTGAGCAGCCATTTAAAATATGGTCCTGCGTGTCAGCGTGAGGTGGGGTGGGCTGGAATTATAAGGGAGCTCCATCCATACGCTCATTGCTTACATCTCCCACATGTGCCCTGTAGAGGTGCCTGGACTGCACCGGCGTCACATTCTGGCTCCCAACTCCTCTACAGGGCGCGAAAGGGAGCTGTACATCAATGCACATATGAACGGAGCTCTGTCACAGCATAGCAGCCCACACTGAACCCCAAAAAGAAAACATTTTAAATTTTTGGGGAGTATCTTCGGTGTGAGAATGTGTCTGTGGTTTTGTGTGTCTGTCAGTGTTTTTGAGGGTCCTTTCACACTTTAACTCTGTTGGCGTTTAAGACAGACACATGGATATCTTCCACGGTCATAACAAAACATCAGCTGAACTGTGTCCTTTTCTTTTAGTGGTTCATACACTTAATGGTTTTCTAGAATCCAGGCTGTGCATTGCAAAGAGTCAGTCAGGAGCTGTACACATTACATGCATGTCTATCCATTACACGTCAGGAGCTGTACACATTACATGCATGTCTATCCATTACACGTCAGGAGCTGTATACATTACATGCATGTCTATCCATTACACGTCAGGAGCTGCATACATTACATGCATGTCTATCCATTACACGTCAGGAGCTGTACACATTACATGCATGTCTATCCATTACACGTCAGGAGCTGTACACATTACATGCATGTCTATCCATTACACGTCAGGAGCTGTACACATTACATGCATGTCTATCCATTACACGTCAGGAGCTGTATACATTACATGCATGTCTATCCATTGCATGTCAGGAGCTGCATACATTACATGCATGTCTATCCATTGCATGTCAGGAGCTGTATACACTTGTATCTAAGGCATGTCAGGAGCTGTATACCTACAGTACATGGTAGTTACTACAGCTTACATTTATACTGCTCACTCACCTGCACCTCCTTTTTATTCCCCAATGTTTCTAACCGATTCAGGAAATCTTCAAACTGCAGCTTTGGATAAAGCCTGTGTGCCCAATTTTCCATCTGTCTGAGCAGAACCCTCAAGTCCTCAGCCTAGAGGGCATGCAGAAAACGTTGAGGGCATACATATGATGAGAACTTTAGTAGAACAATTCACTTTACAATGCATACAACTATATAGTGAGGCAGAAAAAAAAAAAAGACTTTGCTCAAATCAAGGAACACAAGGTTTGGAGAGAGGTTTTCTTCATATAGAATTCAGGAGACAGAAGGTTTTTTTTCAAGTTATGTTAATTTAATAATTCAGTTATGTTAAAGTGACATTAAAGTTACAATTAGGGCCCCCCCCCTCCCCCCACAATGCTGCTTTAAGGACTTACCTTATATGAAGCCTCTTGATCCAATCATCTACTTTCCAGTGGTTTTCAGGAGTTCCTCCAGCGCTGGTGCCGGTCTCTGATGCAGCACAGACTGCTGTGTCTTCTTTGTCCCACGAAGTCTGTGCATGTTGCTGGGCTGCCTACATTGACTTACAGTGTCTCTCCTCTTCTCCCGGCCGAAGATATCTACTGCGCATGAGCCCGCCGCATCATCCTTCTCGGCCGCTCGAGAATCTTCAGACGGGAGCGAGCGGCGGAGACACAGGTAAGTTTTTAACCATTTGGTAAACTTTTCAAATTTGTTTTTATGTTTTTGCATATATCTACTGCTTGCTATCAGTAGATATATGTAAAAACAAATGTGACTTTAATATTTATTATTCAATTTAACAGAGTGTATGATAAGAACATTTTCTAAGAGATGATTGTTCTAGTTACCTTTATCTCCTCCCCTTTATCTCCTCTCCGTCTTCTACACTAATCTTCTACTGCAAGTCTAAATTTTAGGCCAATTCTCTTTCCACTCATTAGGAAACCTCTAGCTTCCTCTCCAGAATGTGCATTATGTGTAACATGTGTCATTTCAGCTTTATAAAACAGACCCTGTCACCAACATACATACAGAACTCCAGGCAGCTCAGACTTTACTCGATCAGGCACTCCCAGAACTGTTGATTTAGTGTTTCCTTCCGAGTGTATTATGTGGTGACAAGCTCTCTAAAACTGATCCAGTCCTCTTGCAGTCGCAGTCCTCAGACTGGATTATGAAAAGGCAGCACGAGGTGCCAAATCATTGTACTGTAGTTCAAGGAGCATGCAAATAGGTGGAGAGAGCAAAGTGAAATAGATAAGCTCATCAGTGTGCTACTTCTCCTCCTCTTGCTGTCCAGTCACTGGATGGGAGTGGGGAGGACACATTTAAGTGTAAGTGAACTGCAATAGAGAAAAATCAGGTCTCCTCCCCTGCCAGACAGGGTTGTACAGTTTGGCAGACCTGTGTAAGTCTTAAGAATAGTAGGGCAGAAATAGAAATCTTTGGCAGGTAAGAGAATTATGCAGGCTTTCATTGCTGACCACTGAATGAAAATGTTAGTTCCCCGACTGTCATGCAGATCCTTTAGCTTTAACCCCTTCATGACTGAGGCCCTTTTTTCCATTTTTGCACCCATGTTATATTCCACATTTTATGCCTGAAAATGACTTAAAACCCCCCAACATTATATATTTTCTGAATGCCAAGACCCTATAGAATAAAATGGTGGTAGTTGAAAATTTTTATGTTGCGCATCCAGGATCGCTTCTGTTGTAAAGCCGACAGTCGGTTCTACAAGTTTAAACAGAGTCCCGGCGGCAAAAGTCGCCGGGAGTCTGTTTAAACAGCCCCGATGCTGGCGACGTACACTGTACGTCGTCAGTCACGAAGGGGTTAATCATTTGATTTACTGATCTGGAACTAGCATACAAATAAGGAATCCTGACGCTTGTTGCAGGTCTGTGACTTAAAGTGTAGGCTAGACACATGCAACCAGCCTGTCAGGGGCTAGCAAAAGCAGTCTACATATTCTGCTTATGACAGGCAAAGGATGGTTAGCTTACCAAGACTGGTGTAGGACCGGTTACTATCCCCACATCAGATCTTCTGCTGTCTGGAAGCACAATGGGGAGCTTGCCCTACTACAGCACAGCTCAACAGGAAGCAAGTCTGTAAGACTGGTAGGCCGGCTTGCCATTGCTGACCTGTGGGTTCTCCATATATTTATGTTGAAAGTTTACTAAAAACCAGATATGTATA